TAATTTAATAGTGATTTTTATTTGATATTTACATTTATGGCACAAACCAACTTAGATATTATATGATGTGTGAGTACCAGAACTTTGTGTCTTCTTGGCCCTTGAACCAATCTAAAGGAAGAAAACCTCCCACATTGCTTTGTAAAACATTATTTACTTCAAGAATCAACTAACTGAGGCTAGCTAAAATATAAGTGTATATTCTGTACACCCAATGTTAAACACATCCTCAACATAAAAATACATTTTTCAAGGCTGAAATCACTGAAACCACAATACTGTAGACATGCAGTGCAGGACACCATACAATTATGGCCATTATCAGACTAAGCCAGATTGGGCACTTACCACATATTCCATATATTAGAATCTTTCATTTTGTGAGTTCAATGCATAAATTAGAAACAGTAATTAAACTTTGCAATGCTGCCAAATAAGGTATAGTTGTAATTGGCCTTGTTTTAATCAAGTAAATAAACAAATATGTAGGTACTTATAAAGGTAAATATATGCATAAAGGAAGAAATACAATGAGGGCTAGTTTTTCTAAATTCCATTCCCATATTTCTGTAGGCATCTCTCTAAAAAGGCAGAGTGTAACTTGTTTCCCTGTTTTGATCAAGGAAATTCCCCTGGGTGCTTGCTTCTTATCCAGATATCTCAGAGCAGGGGCTTGTCAAAGGATAGACACTCTTGGGAGCTTTGTTCTCCATGACATTTTTGATAAAAATAAGAGATACTGCCTGCTCAGAATACCAAAGATGTTTCTGCAGCCAAATTTGTTTAAAACTGTCCAGAAAAACAACAACAAAACTTCTGGGTAAAAGGTAGCCCATGTGCTCTATTCGCTTTTATGTAGGACCACTTTTGAAGCAGGGAAATATGGCAAAGGCCAACAAAACAGTGATGAGATGAGAAACATTATATCATAATAAGGGCTTTGTTATGCTATCAATAGCAAGGGGCTGCTATGAGATGACTGGGGAGGCCAAAGTTTAGGCAAAGATGATCCAGCTACACAATGTGAACTGACCCTTTATCCATCCTGGAATTGCTTTATATAAAAGACAAATTAATAAAAAATGCTGAACCCTTAGTGCTCAGTAAAATATAAATAAGCAACACAAATCTCATTTGTAAAAAAATCATTTATGTTCTATGTAAAATTGTTTCATCTACTGAAGAACTACTAACTCAGGTACATCAACAACCATTTGAGGACTTAGCTCCTTAGCTCAGAGATTTTATCTCAGGTCATACCCATGAGCCATTTGGAAAGCAGGTTTAAGGACCAACAGGGCCAGGCCATTTGCCCTGGAGGTTTGGGAATGAGAGACTGAATTTGTCATAGGTTAACTTCTTCCTTTGGTGCTGCCAAGCACTTGCTTATTATGGAATTTCTGGGCCTATTTTTAACTTTCTGTTCACTTTATCAATGATTCTCCCAGTCCCTCCACCCTCACCTGCTTTAAGGTTTGATCTTCAAATGGCATTCAGCTTTTCTTTTTCTCAAGAGCAGGGCCAATTTAGGTTTAAATCAGTGGTTCCCAACTCTGACAGCACAACAGAATTGCCTGGGGAGCTTTAAAAATACA